CGGTGACTTGTTAATGTTAAGTTTATCAATTAATTCCAAAACCTCCTCTAGTGACACTTCAATCTGTGACAGTTCCTCAGATGTGTCACCTACAAAAGCCAGCTCAGGTTTGGGAATCTCCCTAACATCCTCAGCCGTGAAGACTGAAGCAAAGAATCCATTTAGTTTCTCCGCAATGACTTTATCGTCTTTAAGCGCTCCTTTTGTATCTCGATCATCAAGGGGCCCCACTGGTTGTTTAGCAGGCTTCCTGCTTCTGATATACTTAAAAAAACATTTTATTACCACCTTTGGAGTTTTTGGCTAGCCGTTCTTCAAACTCCTCTTTGGCTTTTCTTATTACATTCTTGCACTTAATTTGGCAGTGTTTATGCTCCTTTCTATTTGCCTCACTAGGATTTGACTTCCACTTTTTAAAGGAAGTCTTTTTATCTCTCACTGCTTCTTTTGCATGGCTGTTAAGCCATGGTGGCTCTTTTCTAGTTCTTTTACTGTGTTGCTTAGTTTGGGCTATACATTGAAATTGGGCCTCTATTATAGTGTCTTTAAAAGTGTCTACCATTGCTGTGAAGTTCTGAGTGGATACAATGGGCGAGCAGCACAGTGACAAATGCAAGGTCCTAACTGGCCACAGATTTGTAACAATAATTATTGCTGTTATACTGTTGTTATACTGTATTGTATTGTTTGTATCTCTAATTATGGTGCTTCCCCCTTTCCCTGTTGTTTATTAGGAGATAAAATCTACCTTCTCTAAAACAAAATTTCAGATTAAGACCACAAAAGATATGAATACTAATTAAATTGCTTCTTTGTTATTGTTCATGCTAGTCATGTATCATTACTAGATACCCGCTGTAAAGTACTGGATATGAAGGCAGGAGGCTGCTCTCAGGAAGTAGGATCTGGGAGGATCCACAAGGATTAGTACACACAGACAAGTCTATGCTACACCATTAATCTTAGCACATATTTGTCTACACTAAGTCAAAGCCAAAGCAACTAGATGGATTATCCTGTATAAGGATGCTATTCTTACCACATGTCAAGGCAGGTGGAGTATTCTGTTGAGCCCAAAAGGACATCTGGGGGTCTGTACCACAGGGTAACCACTTCATTAGAGTATGTGTGGCTGGGGACTGATTTGGCTCTTGCAAGACCTGGAGAATAAATATAATAAAAACGCAATAAGCATAAAGAGAACAAAGAAGTGTACAGTTAAAATCTTAAAGGCAGTGTGCATCATATGAACCTGGATGTGTGTTGCATGCAAGACTGCTTTTTGTTTCTTCTGGCCTAGGAGTAAGTTAATTAGTGAAGGAACATAATAAGCTCTATCATTTAGTTCATAGCTAAACAGATTTGTTGTTATTTTGAAAGAACAATAAGACAAGTCTTGGATAACTATAACCACTGAAGTGTCTTAAATTTTTATTTATCTTTTATATAAAAAATCTGGTGTGGGAATAATCTCATCATCTGGAATTTTATCTTTAGCATTTATTTAGCTTTCTGAAAACACAGTATTCAAAAGTAAATCAGATAAATCCCTAAAGGTCAATTATTCAAAGCGAGGAAGAACAAACCCAGCATGACAACACAACTCCAGACAACAGGTGGATTCTTACAGGGAATTAATGACTCCTGTGACAGGTTTAGCTTATATTCATATAAGGAAAAAATACACTGAAAAAATATTTGAAATTTCAAGCATATATTCTGGTATTCCTGTATGCAAGACAAACAAAAGAAAGGGTTGCCATTTCCTACACCATTCATCTTTCAACTCATCACTTTTCAGCACTGATAATAATACCATTGAATTGAAAGGTTATTATAATAATAAAAAAATAAAAGCAAGGAAAATCCAGTGCCAACAGCACTACAACGGGAATTTCCAGAGCTGCCTCACCTCCCTTAGTCTACATATGCAGAGTCAGATTTTAAAACAGTAGAGGACTATATCCATTTACAAAGAATACTCAAAAATGTACATCCACAGTTGCATCCATAATTACTAACATTGTGCATATAAATCAAGACATTGCATGTGCAAAAAGCTTTATTCCCCCAACTCCCAGAAGATGAGCATTATAGAGTAAGGGAACTCAGTTCCTGGAAGATCTGGGAGCAGGAAAGACTCTTTTCTCTCGAATGAAACCTTCCAATCCACAATTTACTGAAAGAGTAGCATTTACTATGGCCATTCTTAAATCTTGCCAATTCCCTGAGACAGCTAAATAATATTACCCTAGCAATTGCCACTCACTCTATAAAAATATATGGGCGTCCAAGGCATACTGCTAGTACTAAGGTAACTATAATTTATCTAAGGTAAAACTTGCAATTTTTTAGGAGTGATCACTGTATGCTCACAGAGAACTTCTTCTAACCCTTCTCACAAGCAAGGGACCATGATTAAGGGACATGGGCACTTTCAAGGCTAGGATAAGTGCCTGCACCACAAGAAGGTAGAACTTCCCTGCACAATCCACTCCTGATTGCTTTTCTGCAGTCATGTTCTGGTATTCTAAAAACTGCTGTCCTCACAACCCCAGAAGTTGGGGGATACTGAGCACATTCAAGTAATGGGAACCAGGAGTACACAGTGTTGGATTTTCACCTGCAAAGAGAAGGGACGTTAACTTCCTTCCACAAGACAATGAAATTATTAAAACAGAAGGTCACTATCAGTTCTGCTACCTCACTGAAATCTTTAGAGAGAGCCAAAACACATTCATTTAGTGAAAGATTACAAACTGCAAGGGAAATCTATGAGAGTTCACATGTAATTGAAGACCAGAATCTTCTCTGGAGCAGCAATAAATATTTTTAAAACCAAAAATGAAAATTAAGGACTGCATGCCTGAAGTTGTACAAGTTGAAGCAGAGCACATTTGCACTTTTATACTTAATACACTGGAGAAGTGATTTAAGAACAATTAATCCCAGTGACTATATTACCATAGTAACGCTGGCAAATTCTGTGTAGAGATTGGGTTATCTACTGATTATACAGATTAGACATGTGTGGGAGGATAGTCTAACTAGCACACCAGAATTTAAAAAACAAAAACATTTCAGACATTAATAATCATTCTTTGTTCAGTTTTACATGTTCTGACATTTTTTCATCTGGTCTCCCTGGCTGCAAATCAGCCCAGTATCTTCTCTTGCACTGAATTCCATGTTGGCAAGAGTTTCTTGGGAAACATACATTGCACACCTTGCAGAAGCTAAGCCACCCACAGAGACCTTGGTTGTGACTACAGGTTTATGCTTTCAGAAGATCACAGACAGTGGATACTTGTACAGTAATTAAGATTGATAATTTTGTTCCTAGCATGAATGAGCAGTTAAGAGTCTGAATTGGTTTGAAGAGCTATTTTTACTTATATCCCACAAGACTAAAGGGAGGCAGATTCTAGTCAGATTGAGGTTTGGAGGATCTCAGCTAGATGCCAGTGTGGAAGAGAGGGAAACATATGGAAACCCCCATACTCCTACATTTAAAGAGAGTTGAAGAGACATCCAGACAATTTAGAAAGGGAGAAAAAACAAGGCGGTACTATAATGGGGGGGGAGGGAAGAGGAGTGGAGGGGGAGGAAAATCCATCCTGCAAGAATGAGCCCCTCTTGCCAAACAGAAAATGTGCTCCCTGAACTAAGGTAGAAAAAATAAAAGAAACTATTCTCAGTTCAGATTTAAGTAGGTGGTTCTAGATTACCTGGATTTAGAAAATATTCATTACTCTACTGTCTGCCACCTTTTTCTGGCTGGCACTTAGAGCTTTCCCTGTGCTGTCCAGTTCAGCTGCAGCTTCTCACCTGCCACCCTGGATCAGCTCCTCTGGTCTGCCTTTACTGTTTCTTGTTGCCTCTACTGCCGCCACATCTCCTCCCCACTGATACCTGAACTTTAACTAAACATACAGCAGATTTTTCTACATGCCACTTCTTCAGAATGCCACCTTTGGTCCTCTCTCCTAATCCAGCTTGTTTGGCAACTCATCCCTTATCCTTAAATCTGCTCCTGATCCCCCAACCACCATAAAACAAGGTTAGCTACTGTATCTGGCTTCTGAGACAGACAGTTGTCTGAGTGGGTTGCTTTCACTGCTGAAAAGAAAAATGATGAACGGAGGCTTGGAGTATAAGAAAACTATGTATCCTAAAATGTGTTGAGGTCGCTTTTGTGTTAGTGTTTAGCAACTTCAGTGCAGCAAAGTGGAACTGAATGGGCTCAAGGATGTCTTTGTGTTTGAAATGATGGCCTGAATTTTCCTCATTGTGTATGTAGACCAGTTAGGCAACTAACTGGCCAAAATGCAAGTGAAACTGCAGGTGTAACTTATGCACATTTAGATTCATATATTCAAACTGAGTGCATGCATTTTGGATTGTCTCAAGGCATGAAAGAATATCTTTGTCCTTTAGAAATATTTATAATTTATTTAAATACAAAATCATCAAAAATATGAGAAACTAACAAGACAGTATTTCTTATTTTGATGCACCAGATATGAATAAATGACAGTTATCAGTTTTTCAAATATCCTTCTGAAAATAAATTGCTACATATTTTATACCATTTGTGCATCCAAATATGCTTACTCATGCAAAATTTATTTAACTGCATCTTTCAGCTGAAGGAAAATGTAGGGTAGGATTAATTAGCACAGCATGTTCGATCACTTTCTTTAAGAGTTCCTTGTCTGTTTCCATGGTTACACTACAGGAAGAGACAATCTCTTTTGAAAAAGACAGCTTAAGGTTGATCATCAAAACTTCTAATCTTTATGCGAATAAAAAGTCAAAAGGTAAATGGAAGAGATCACCAGGTGAAAAAACAATATTTGCATACTGCTGCTTATACACTTTTGACCTGAAGATATACAATGATAACTTCATGATAGTTCAGTGAAGTATCTTTCAGTTCCTGTGCTTTTGGACAGATAAAAGGTCACCAATACAGACACCCTGCTGCTATTGTCCTATTCTTAAAGTAATGAGACAACCATAAGGCACAGTTACTAGAAATCAGATTGCATCAAACCCACTGTGGAACTTTTGTATAATTGTTCAAAGAGTTGTGTACTACTCTGTGTATTGAATGTTACTTATATGTACATTTAGTTGAAACTACATAAAACAATGATGCATTACATTCTAATATTTTACATGATATAATTTACCAGTATCATGAGAAAAGGTACAATTTTCTTTAAACGTTTCTTACTAAATTACAGATTCAAGAATATTTTACAACCATGGATGAGCATTCAACACAAAGGCCCATTTGGATCCCAGTATATTTTAGTTTTTACCACCCAAAAACTCAGGCTGCCACATCTCTGTGTAAAAAAATGTCTTAAATATATGAAGATATTTCACTGTTTAGTTAATATAATTTTCTCCCTTTGTGGGGCCTTATCTTGCACCTCAGGCTCAGGAAAACAGTGTCTGAGTTTCCCTAATCTCTTTTATTGACAAACACACACATCACCTTATCACTTAATATTTTTGTACTGTATTTACAGTTGAAAGGAGACAATGACTTATACCCACTTTGTGAGCAGACTGCTAGATGTGTGGCACAAATATCTATTGGATATCTCTCTAGCTATGTGATAGCTATCTAGCCAACTCTGTGTCCAAATCTACCATGTGTGGGTAAAGGAGGGAAAATATGCAGGTGCACAAACGTGGACTTACCCAGAGTCTGGAAAAACAAATCAAACTCTATATAAATACACACATACTAAACCCCACATAATTATTTGTTTAAATTAAGACAGACATGTGCATCGGTATGTTTTCTCTTCTATTTCAGTGTTAATATGCACCTCATCTTGACTTAGATACAAACAGATGGGTTCTAGCAGCATGAGATGAAAATAGGAAACAAAGGGGATCTTATTGTTGTTTTCCCTTTTCTCGCAGCCCTTTGAGGTCTCCTTTTTTTAGCAATCTGTTTAATTCTTTAGTAGATTCTGGTAGTTTGGCATAATTGGCTTGTAAATACATAATTCTTATTCAAATTATAAAATAAATAAAATTATCAAATTGTGGATTATAACTATCTATTTCAGTTAACCAAACCAATGGCGCTCACTTCTCGATCACTCATTTGAGTGGCACATTTACCCAGGAAATGCCT